GAGGGTGACTTAGGAGCAAATTGACCATTTCTAGGCGATCGCTTTGAATAGCGAGATGGAGCGGCGTATAGCCATTCCGGTTCTGGATGTCCAAATTCAGACCCTTTTCTCCGAGAAGCCGTTTGACAACATCTACCGACCCATAGGCCACTGCTTGGTGAAGAGGTAGCTCAGCCTCTTGTGATGATTTGGTACCAAGAAACACCTCGGCCATCGGATCGTTTGAAAAAATCATTTCCATCACGGGTCTATTGAAGCGACATGCCCAGTCCCATGGCGAGTGGCCCGAATCATCCTGTAGATCAGGGTCGCTGCCTCTAGAAAGTAGCAGATGCACGAGCCCTATTCGGCCTGCGAAGGCTGCTAGGTGGAGCGCCGTTCGGCCGTGTTTGTGCTTGATGTCCACCTGGACGTTGGGTTGATTTAAGACACTTTTGACGGCGGAAAAGGTTCCGTAGTGGATAGCATACCACAGGGCGCTCTCCCGCGCTTGATTTTGAATGTTGATGTCTAGGTCTCCACGACTGAGCAAGAGGTCCCGCACAGCAGCGGAAGAGTATTTGAGCGCCCTCATTAAAGGAGTTTTGCCTCGGTAAAATGCATTGACGTTGGTGTTGTGCTGGAGCAAAGCCTCCGCAAGACCAATGTTGTCGTATTTGACAGCCAAGTGCAAAAGATTGCTGTTCTGAAATTTGATGTTGTATTTCCAGATGCTGGGCTGCAGTTTAAAATCAAAGTCTTTGCATGATTTTGCGAGGGCAAATAATGCACTACCGTCCAAATACGACACAATCCACAGCAAAAGCTCGTTGGGCAGGTCTCTGATGTTTGGCTGTAATGTATTAGCTCATCGGTAAACTCCGTAAGAACGAATTGAACAGACCATGATGGGACAGCGGATTGAGCTAACGAAATGTAGATGGGGGTGAGGTGAGAATTGTGAAAGTAGGATATGGGAGGCCTTTATATACTCACCTCAGCCAAATTCCATGGTCAGCTATGAGTGTAGTCTGTCAGTCCGCTGAGAGGTGCGTAGCAATCACAAAGGGTTGACAACAATGCTCAGGCGGAGTTGTAGAATCTCTGGAGTCTAGCTCCTGGGAACGCTAAAACTGTTCCTGGTAGTGTGTCGATGGCCTGGGAACCGAATCTATCTCTACGTACCCACATCTTGCGTCTAGCGCCATAAGAATAAATCACAACCTATCACACTTCGAAATTCATAAGCAACCCAGAACCTAACGTAGCATTTGTCGACTTTGCTGCTCACCGCAATAGTCTGTTCGCTAATGCGTGGTCACCGTGATGGATAGTCAAAAGTGCAGCTGATTGCAGCAGTGGTCTGGAATGATATCCCTTCATGCAGGCCACTGACCGGCTGTATACGGCGCATACTGCGTGTGAATGCATTCTTCCACGTACCGACTGTTTCAAGGAAGTGTTCCATGCCAGCCACGCAGCCATGTAGGTAAGGAGCCACGCGATGGCATATAAAGCTGGCGAAGGAACGCCGCAGTGATTGCCCAACACCACCACAATCCGAAGCATTTTCTGCCTTTGACGACCACCTCAATAACTACCATGCTGCCTTGGAATCCGTTTCTTGTTTGTGAGATAGAGGTCAGCCCCAATGGCGGTCCTGGCTCTTGTTGCGGGACGACGAAAAAAGGCGAGCCGTGCAAAAACTCGATCAAAGTTGAAGACACCAAGATCGGCCATCAAAAGTTGACCACTCTCGCCAGAGAGCCATTTGACTTGTCATCGTTGCAGTCCAAGCTCTGTGATGTCGCCAGAGACTTCCTCTGCGCGAGATGGCACCGACAACGGCAGGCCGACCAAGTTGGCCAGCAGTGGTATGAAGCCGCCGTCCGCAACCAGGCGCGAGTACCACATGGCTCCAGAATGGCTTCTCCGTCAGTCATTGTACACCGGAGCCAGCGTCAGACATCGTCAGCCTCCAGGCGACGCCCTGCATCAGACAACACTGGCCCGTCACCTCCTCACAGGCTCAGACAAAACCCGCCGGTGCGGCTTTCAACCAACCCCGAGCCAGTGCAGCCATCCAATCCATTTGTGACTTCTGCAATGCTGCGGACGAACAGTGTTCCATGGCGCGTTTCGCCGACCCGACCAGCCATCCTCTCATCGGCAACTAATATCCGGGCTGGTTTCCAAGAATTGACGCTCCAGAGTCTCACCTCGAGTGAAGAGGTCGACAGCGTCCACGTCGACAGCATCTACTGTGTGTTCTGCCAGACCGAGGATGAAGACCATGCGGACGAGAGCGTGATCTTGCACTGCGGTCAGTGCACATCGCTCTGTCATCTGTCGTGCGCCGAAGAATGGCTGGAAAAGCGAGATACAGGGTTTGGCACGTCATGCTGTGTGTGGTAAGTGTGAACGACCTTATTTCTGAGACGACCAAGACACTGATGACCGCAGCCGAAACGAAGGGGCCCTAGATGCCATCATTCGCCCCTTACGAATCCCCTCGTCGGATGCCGAGACATATTCCGTCCACACGGCAAGCGATCCATCTCCCTCTGGTGGGCCCCGTCGCTCAGCCAGACTAGCAGGAACTCATCTACCGCGACAACCTTCCACCGCTGCACCGCTTCGCCGATCGGCACGACTCAATTCCACTCAGCGTAGGTGATCACAGGTTACAGCCGTTATAGCCGTGATATAGAATTTTGAAGCAAATTAGCAAGAAATGAAATACCGATGGTTAAACTCCGAAGTACAACGCGACCGTTTCATCTCGTAAGTGCTGGACACCAATACACCATAGCCAGTAGATATTGACTGCTTCGGTGATTCCGAAAATTTCTGAGCTCGAAACTGTAGTGGTAGATAAAAGTTCCGTTTTCATGATACCTAACGGCGGTGACCAAAGAAACAGAGGATTCATCTCAGTGGAGCCGTGTCGCGTGAAGGCGGGGATTGTTAGCAGAAAAGCCACAGGCAAGAGACTGACAAACTCTTGTGCTTGTTAACTTGACTCTGGGAGCCAATATGTTGGCCCTGGGAACCTCAAAAGCATTTCTAGGAGCTGTTTATCCCCTAGGAACCTCAATTTAGCTCCTGCGGCTATTCTTAGTTTCTGTGACGGTTCATGGATGCTTGGGTTTTACCACTACGCCATCTGGCCAAAAAGGCACAATGTTTGGTCAGCGACCAAACACCCAAGCTACTATATATACTCGATCTCTGACAGTTTCTAGGAAAATGAGATCTAGCCCTGGGATCTACACTTTACATTCCTTACTGAATACGAAACTGGCTCTGGGAATACATTGACCAGATCTGGGAGCTGTGGAGCCCCCGGGAGCTTACTTTAGGGCCCTAGAGTCACTCTCTTGCCTTCCGAGATCGCCGAAAGCCCTCACAAAACATTTTCACCGGACCTGCGCAAAATCCTGCGTCATTCGGTCACTCCTAGAAGGCCAAATTATCGCTCCAGGAATCAAGCAAATCGTCAACAGGAACGCGGCTTTGATTCCCCGAGGTGGGGATACCAGACCCCAGAAGCTACATCGGGTTTCCTGGGGGCTATGTGGCTCCTAGAGGATGTGTCAAGGATATACATGAGGCATACGGAACGGATGGAGATATGATCTGCGCGGGACCCACTTAGTGATATGGGTTCCCCTGAACGCGAGGAAGCTACCTTTCTTTCGCTTCCTCGCGCTACGTCTTGTATCTAGAGTCAATTATATTTGTTCTTAATATTGATTGTTAATCTTGAGACACTATCCACCTCTATGTATACGTGAGACCCTCACAGGATGTTTCTTTGCTCCCAGAAACGTCTCAGAGGCTTCCGGGAGCAAGAAAACTCCCAGGATCAAGAGATAAGTTCATAGCACCAATGAAACCATCTACAGGGGCGTGACCTGTTTCTTAATGGTGATGAAGAAGATGTGCATGTTTGTACCTGGATACCGCTATGGATATCTAGTTGCTGGTTATACGGACAGAGACAGAAAGTGTGCATAAAATATGGAGAGTTTTATCTAAGTTCCGGCGTTGAAGGCCATATAAAAATGATTTCAGACCAAAGTACCCCTAGAGAGAATATAAGTTAGCCCTTCAACTCCATTATCTCCGCTCCGAAGAGTATGTTTTTGACGTTGAGTTTTATTTCGGGAATTGTGATCCTTTTGTTAGCTGTATTATACCAGCAGGGCTGTGGCAAACACTTCGTGATTTCTTTTGTCATAGCGATGGTCGGTTCGTTGACTTCGGCGCTTACGGACGCGACGCCGGCATAGAAAGTGTCGCCAGACAGTCGTTCGCCCGCAACACTATGTAGAGCGGTTTCCCTCCTTTCTTTGTCTGGGACGAAGTTGTAACGGTTCGGAGGTTAGCCCCGATGAGAACGGGATCGGAACCACAGCTAAGAGCCATTTAAAACCAGGCCTCATATTTGAATATAGTCCTCCAGAGGCGATGCGATTCGTCAATGAAAGATAATGCATTTGCCGCTTTATTTGCTTGGAAAGGGTCCAAAGGGCGGGCGATGAGGTTGCCATGGAAGGTTTGGCATCCTGGCTGCGACGACACCCGTATTAACGTACAGCGTAGGCTTTTGTTCCGTGAACCGTTTTGGCCCGGGGGGTTTTACTCTTATATGGTGGACAGTCGCGCATTTGTAGGGGAGCTGCTCATTATTGAGCTTTGGAATTCTATCCTTTAGTGTTGTTTTCATTGATTGGAACCTCAGAGTGGCAACTGGAAATGCTTAAGGATAATCCTGTATTCTGCCACGTGTGGTTACATCCTAAGCTTGGACGTTGAATGGTAGACCGTAATGGTCATTGTACTATATGTAAGGAGCTAAGTTCTACTGGAGCCGAAGGGAGCTATTTAGACTGGATACACAAGCATGGTCACATAACCATGTTGAGGCTAAACCTTTGTAACACTAATCAAGCCGGGAACATCCACAGATTGTCCTGTTTATCAACTTCCCTCGTGAGGCATAGTAAACAACGAGCTTAGGTACACTGTCTAACGGTTAGCTGTGGAATCTTATAGGCTTCGTCTGATCGTCTTACGCAGTAAATAGACTAAGGATATGCATTAGTTAACTTTCAAGTCAATAATCAAGACAGGTCTCTTACCCCTCCATCTGAACATGGCGAGAAACCTTGTCGATCAGCAAAGACACAGTTTCCCCTCCAAATAGGGAAATCCTTAGGATTGGGATTTTCGCCTAGGGTGCCTGGCTCGGTACACTTGAGTAGAGTAACAAATCTTTAGTTAGATGTCAAATAGTAATAGCTATTAGTCAGACAAGTTTGACGACATACGCAATAGTAGTGCATGTCTGATGCCTTGCATGCTGAGTCGAGTAAAGACTTCGGGTTTGATGGCGCACTCCAGCCGTAATTACACCAATCTCCGGCAAGGGCCATGGGAAAAACCGACAATAACGCGAGCGCGTACTTCATGATGACAAGGAATAAAAAAGGAAGAAACACTTTGTCCTACTTGAGAACTTTCCTAGGGAAGAGGCCTGCATATAAGTAACTGCAATAGATATAAATTACCTCGTTACCTGAAATCTAAACATATTAGCTTCCTAGGTATTCCAGATTACGCTTCAGAAAGGTGCACTCTCCGAAAATGATCCGGAAAATGGCGTCGTGTAAAAGCTAATTGAAATTGCATTTTGTGTTGGCTAGTCATGTGCTCCGTAGTGGTTTCTCGAAAAGTATGTTAGACTGACAGTCTCGGATACCGCTAACGTTATCCGCGGGGGAAAGGAGACACGGGAGGGTGAGACACGGGAGGGTGAGACACAGGCGAATGAGAGACCCAAAAACACAGTGTAAAATGCGATAAATTACAACTTCGTGTCTCTATAACCATAGATCTTTTGGACACGATGCTGAGCCCGTATAATCTAGATAACGTTTCTAATTTACCGGTGCAGTATAAAAGGACCGCTATGAGTAGCCATGGAGACATGTATTATGTCCCAAATATCAAAATTTTGTTGTATTTTATTCTAAGTGCCAAACTAGTAGTCCGAAAGTCGGGGTCAACCCCGGGTTCGGATGAAATGGGCTACCGCCCGACCATCAGGAAGTCTCTGGGACCAAACATTAAACCGCTCGGCACGGTAGAGTCACGTCCCGGACAGGGTCACCTGCTTTCGGAGGCTGCGTCCACTGGCATCGCCCCTCTCTTATCTAGTCCGGGCGGCTGAAATTGAGGCCCGACCGCCTGGTCCTCGATATCTCCCAGTGATCCCCGTTGAACCAGCACCAAGTACCGTTTGGTGTCTTCGTGTCTTCCTCGTCGCTACTGAGAATGTCGAGGGGTCGTCTACTTTCTGAAGTGTCTTTGTCCAGAGATATTTACAACAGTACTCAGAATTCTTAAACAGCTAGGGATCACCCTACATAGGAAGCCTGTATTATGACTATGTGCTCGGGATTCAGGTTGGGCCGCTACGTGGGAGGCTAAGCTCAGCATATTCACCTAATGGCTGCGTGCTCCTATTCACAAGTCGTGGGCAAGTGGTCTATTATAGAAACGCAAGCGACCATTTGCCCCCGACCGCCCGATACCCCCTCTTTCTTGAAAAGCTTGCTAAAGCTTAGCATCAAGTTTATTCCGAAAGCGAACCTGCGGAGATGCAAGTGCCATTTTGGAAATAGGATATTCTACGTGCCCCTTATCTCCTGCATCACTTCGCCTATATTAGCCGTTGATAACCTGTATTGCGGTTAATAATTATACGTCTGGGCCTCCTGGTCGAATGGACACTTGCGCTTGCCAACGATCCGGGCCAGCCCGTCTTCTGTTGTAGTGGCTCTTATTCCTGATGTGCACTTGCCTTCTGCCACAACATCTTCCACATCGGGGAAACCCAACAACCGATGCTAATCCGTGCTAGACAACCGAAACATCTCCAACCGGGGCGCCGAGGTACCAATATGCTCACGACCTCACGTCTATAAATCATGCCGGCTACGTGGGATGAATGCGCCGCCTGTAAATCCGCATCGTGGCCCGTAAACCACTCGGGGTCCATACTACTCTCATTATCCGCATCATCGGTTGGTATCTCCGTGGCGCCGTCCCCGTGCTGGTTCTGGGGAAATACGCTGGATCGCGTAAATGCCGACCACAGGCACTAATCGCAACATTACCAGCATTACCACAATCCAATTACTGTTCATCGTGGTGAAGACCGTTAAGGACCGCGGGTTCCCGCAGTTAGGGGTCGGCACGAATACATATTCGTAACATTTTGAGATATTCGCATTCGCATTCGTAGATCACAGACCTCTACGAATATTCGTATTCGCAAGGCCAATATTCGTACGAATATTCGTACAAATATTGCCCCGTCACCAAAACCAACTCCCACCCAATAGGAAAAAGTATATCACGTGCAGTTTGTTTATCCAAGTGACAAGTCGCGCCCGAATCTGACAAGTTTATTTCAAGGACGTGTTTCGATGACGGTAATAGAGCTCAGAATGTCTGGTGCTGAATTGCAAGCTTCAAACAATGATGGCTCCGGCAGCTCATCTGTCGAATTGCCACCACGCCCCCAACGGTCTCAGAGAATAGACTACCACTTCTTAAATGGTGGAAGTGACGAAGACGATATTGAAGATCATATCAGAAAGAAACCCCGACTGGATTCGCCACCTGGTCGCTTAGAATCGATTGGTCCTGAAGACTCCGCCAGCCAGCTGCATCTCAATCTACCTACTCCTCCGGAATCTGTTCCACCAGGGGGCTCTAGATGCTTTACAGAAGCCATACGGCCATACAAATCGCACAGAAAAGCCCGCATTAAGCCACTGAATCAATGGCTTTGGAATCAATTTCGAGTTAGTCCTCTTCCGGGCAAGCAATGGCGGCCCAGGCGAAGCCGACAGCTGCTTGAGGATCGAGAGATCCAATGCATTCATTGTGGCTGGAAAACCACAGATTCGGCAAGGGCAACATCTACGACCAACATGAAGACGCACCTAGCCAAACACAACATTTTCGAAAAGTCCGGTCCAGAGGACCTGGGCGAGGGTTCCAGCGAGACGAAACAGCACTCAATTGCTTCAATATTCCAGTCCCGAGCCGAGCATGATACTAGAGCCCTGTTGGAACAGAACATACTTCGATGGGTTGTGACAGATGATGTGGCATTTACGGCAATTGAGTCCCCTGCGTTCCAACAGATATTCAAGGACTTGCCGGACGCTCCTCTTCCTTTCTCTTCTCGAACAGTTGCCCGCCGCATTGACGCAGATTTTGATCGCTGTCGGATCCAGTTGATCGATGAACTAGCACGGACATGCTCCACAATTGCGCTTTCCTTGGATGTCTGGACAAGCAAGAACCATAAAGCCATTCTGGGAGTTATCGGTCACTGGGTGTCCACCGACTTCAAATATCAAGAACGAGTCCTGGAGTTCAGCGAACTTGCTGGATCCCACAGTGGAGAAAATATGGCGGAGACTCTGCAGAAGATGCTTGTCGAGCTTCGGATTGAGGAGAAGCTGCTCACAATCACAGCTGATAATGCGTCGAATAATGAAACGCTGGTGTCTGAGCTGTATTTTCACCTGTTGGAAAAGTACAACTCGGAGGATTCCAAATTGCCCGATAAAGGACGTCTCCGATTTCAAGGTATTGACAGCTACATCCGGTGCCTTGCACATGTCCTCAATCTCATTGTCCGCGACATCCTCTCGAGGATGAAATCTGGAGATCACAAGTCTGCCATTGAAGCCTGTGATCTCTTACAGGGAAATAAGAAAATCGGACGGCAGTCTGCGTTGGCCCGGATTCGGATCATGACTCTCTGGATATTGAGGACACCTCAACGACGACAGCAGTGGAAAGTGACTTGCCAAGCAAATGGCTTGAACGACAAGTTCATCGAGTATGACGTGGAAACCCGCTGGAACTCCACATACCGTATGGTCCAGGGAGCCTTGCAAGCCAAAGCACAGATCCGGATGTGGATAGAGCATCAGAACCAGTTTCCGCCATTTTCAGCTGACGACTGGTTGCAGCTGGAACAGCTCGAAATGATCCTCTCCAAGTTTGATGAGTTCACTCAACTGGTTTCCCGGCGGAAATCCCAGATCAGCCTAGCCATTCCCATCTATTACGAACTGAATGACATGCTCGAAGATGCAGCTTCTGCACAAGGCGACTTTTCGGGGCTTAGCTCTGACATTACCTCCGCCATCTCCGCGGGGATGAAGAAATACAAGAAATATTATGAACTAATGGACGCCCAAGATGCTTATTATATAGCTCTTGTCCTTGACCCACGCTTCAAAACCCTCTTATTGGATAAGGAGCTCGGGCAGGTGACGGCGCCAAAGGTTATTCGATCCATCAAGGATACCTTGCATGAGCAATACCCATCGAAATCATCACTGGAGCAATCAACGTCACAGATTAATCAGGACAACAAGCGGCAAAGTCTGGAGGCTCGTGTTCTGCAGAAGCTGCAACCACAAGTGATCCAGCGTTCAGATATTGACCGCTACTTTGAGGAAGGTGTGGTGACTGTTGATGAATCTGTAACAAAGGATGAAGATTGGTTATTTGGCTGGTGGAGGACGCACAAGGATGAGTATCCGCGGATGGCAGCTGCAGCCAGGGATTACCTTGCCATTCCGGCGGCTGAAGTCGCAGTAGAGAGGTTGTTTAGCCGTGGTAGGGATCTGTTAGGGGTACGTCGACATTCTCTAAAAGGTGAGACAATGCGGAAAGTGATGCTGTTGAGAGATATATATATAGTTCAGAGAACACCCAGTGAAAAATCCTAGAGCGTCTTGCTGGTATTCCCAACCAGCCGCTGCTTTGCTTCGAAGGATATAGTAGTATAAAGCCTCTGTGGATCATTGTTCGCAAGGCACGGAACATCAAGTGAAGTCTTGTCACTTGGGCTGTGACTGCTCACTAGTTATTCTTTTGCCACGTGACCGAACTTGCGAATATTCGCGGCGAATAGAAAATTTATTCGCATTCGCATTCGTCGTGCAAAATGTCTGCGAATACGAATGCGAATTGCGAATATTCGTAACGAATACGAATATATTCGTTATTCGTGCCGACCCCTACCCGCAGTTCGGTCCTAGCCCATAAGTTTAGAACCGAAAAACTGTAAGGTCCGGTCCAAGTCCTCAACCTCGGCCCATGCAGAGGCTTAAAGAGACGATACTTGACCTTACCAGACGGGGGCACTGAGGCTAGCCCTAGCTTTGTAGTACGCAGAAATTATTCTTGCCCTTCTTGCCATTATTATTATTATTATTATTGATTATTTAACGTCGCCGGCAGGTCACTTGGCAGGTGACCCACTACCTCCCGAGGGGTAACTGGACGTGCTACCTAAGCGAGGATTTACTACAACTAGCTAACTAGCTCAACTAAATACACGCTGGAAAGCAGCAAAATTGAGCACTACGTGCTGAGAAAGGGTTAAAGAAGCGCCAGGCACTATCCTGGCCTGGGTTCCTGGGGGTGGACTGACTACCCGCGGATGGGAGAGGGTGCCGGCCTCTCCCATCTGGGCAGAGGTGAAGACTGTTGCGCTATGCGGCGCATGTTTGTGCCCGATTTGGGCAGATGTCCTTGAAGAACGTTTCTTGCACGAAACGGCCGAATTCCTCGGCCCCAGCAGCTGTGCTCAGTATCCAGTTTATCCTTGCAGATGGGCTGGCCTTTCGGCCTTTCCATCGATCCTTCCAGCGTTTCCTCGCAGGCGGGCAGAAGAAGAAGTGGACGGGGGATTTTGGCTTACCGCAGGAGCAGGTCGTAAGGGAGTCCCTGTGATGGAACCTCTCGTGGTATACCTGGAAGTCACCATGGCCAGTCCGTGCGGCTAGCAGCCGGCCGAGCACCCCGCGGGGAAGCCTGTGTTCCCGAGCGCGGCTGCTCTTGGTGTGAGGTTGGATATTTAGGTCTCGGTATGCCTGAGGTGCGTCTCTGGTATACGCGGCACGCGTTGCCGTGCGGATATGTTGTTTTGCTTCGCGCACAAGGTAAGATGGGGAAGGGGGAATATGGGAGCCGTCTAACGCTGCGCCCCTCTTTGCTAGCTCATCGGCAGTCTCGTTCCCTGCTATCCCAGAGTGGCCTGGCATCCAGCGCACCTCCACGGGCGTGCGGGGTGTGCTGAGGATATAGGGAGCGGATTCCCACTGGGTAGTAAGCTTTTGGAATAAGTCCGTGAGTTTTCGTCTGTGTGGCGCCGGCCTCCCGTCCGCGAGTAAGCTAGCGGCAGCGAGGTTATCGAGGAGGACAACGAGGCCGGTGGAGTAGCTTGCACAGGGTAGGTTGACAGCCGCCTGGAGGCCCTCTACTGCGCCCATAATCTCGGCGTCGTACACCTCTAACTGGGAGCCAGCTGGCCCATACCCTTGGGTGATAGGGATAGAGCCGTAGTAGACCACGAACCCGTACCCAGCCCCTTGGCCAGTGCGTGAGCCGTCCGAGTAGACCGTTAACCGTAGCGGTGCTGGTGCGTATGCGGCCTTGTTTGCGTCTGTAGTAGGTAGTATGCGGAGCGGTGGGAGACGTGACTCTACACGTGCTCTCTCCGGTGCCGGCGTTGGGACGCGTTGGAGGATTCTGGTGAGTGCCCTTCTTGCCATAGACCAGGGTGGCTGTCCAATGTATTAGGAGCTGCACGTGACGTAAAGGGGTTGAAAAGTCAGTATTGTTTGGGCCTGTCGATCTTCGTCACTGGCCCTACCCAAGGGTGGTGGCACTGATACGGCATGCATTGGTGATATACTATACTAACCGAATTCAGTTGGGGCGGCTTGCATGACAACCCCTCAAACCGCCCCGCGGGTCTTGTGGTTTCACCTTACGACCTACTGATGGATAGGGTCTGGTGCTTCGAGAGAACGGAGATTGCAGTGATATTCGAAATCAGCCTACCTCTCTTCTCTCTCACATAGTTTCCCAGCGCCCCACTAGAGGGGCACTATTCCAAACCAGGCTACCTACCCCCTTGCCCGTCTCGCATCGATCAATGTACCTCTACATTACAGTAACTGACTACCTCCTTGCCATCAGTGCACCATAGCTCGGCCGGTATGCCAATTTCGAAATTCATAGGTCAATGATAGTTTGCACTCCCCTGTGTAAACATATCCAACACAAGGGAAACAATTCTCGCCTATACAGTATACTGGCCACCTAAAAGTTCTTTTTGTGTAACACAAGTGATACGCAAAATTCTCCCTAACCGGCTCCTCCTCCACGTCCTCCTCAATTGCAACTGGCCGCACTACTGACCAATATGCTATCCCTTCATTACCTCCAACTTAAAAAACATTGACCGCCATTCCGAACTCTGGGAACTCGCAAGTTCACGCCCGACGGCTTTTTAGAAACAGGGGTTTTCACGCTGATCTTGGACTTGTTCATTACTTATCAGCATTTTTCTACCCTTCGTGGTGAGTTGGGAGTGAGGGCTGTTTGAGATAAGTGGTACATACCCACTTCGATAATATCGGAATCGATGCGCGCCTTCGCTATCATTCCAGACAGGGAAGAAACCGCCAGCAAAAAAACGAAGTCGGTATTGTCCGGGCCGACGCATAAAGATACTTTCGAATGCTGCTAAGCATCGATTATCATTACCTGGTAGGCATTGTAATGAAGAGGTCAAGCATCTGCCGATTTCATGATTTCATTGTAAAGATTGGGCATTGTCAGCGCCCCTGAGAGAAATATTGAGAGCAAAGTCAATGTGCACGGATGGTTTTTGCAGGCCAAGTAGTTCGCCGCGACAATCACGCTAAAATGATATTCTTGACAAAGACGAGCTGGGGGCCCACGACGAGAAAAAGGGCATCTTGGCAATGCGAACCACTACTTTCTGCTTCCGCATCCCGAACTGAGTTTTCAACTGGAAACATCTCCGCATTTCAAAAGGGAACAGCTACATTGAGTGTGAACCTCGTTCATCGCAGTAATTAGAACTCGTAAGGCCCAAGTTCCTAAAGCAGAGCTTTATTTAGTGATACGTAACAGATCTCATAGGTTCCTGGATGCTATGATAACAATAAACTTCAAATTCTCGGAGAATCGGCCAGGTTTGATTCTGTAAACGCTCCACCACCGCTCCACGTGGCAACAAAATAACAAGTGGGGATAAGGGGGCGAATCCCGAGGTTTGAATTTGTTTTTCGCTTATCGCTAGATTAAGAAGCCTTAACTAACCACAGAAGTTTGGTTGCCAGCTTGAGTCAAAACCTTATTTCTCCATCTTTCCCATCACACGGCTCGGAAATTCGAGAACACTAATTAGTTCAGTCAATTGCTTCAAGCAATGTGGTCAATAATGCCGTGCTACTGCCACTTCTATCGGCACTAGGGAAAGACGCTTTTACTAGCGGAAGCTTCTATCAGCACTAAGGAAAGACACTTTCACTAACGAATATATTCAGTCTACACCGCATCTCTTCAAATCCTTCATTAAATGATTCACTGTAAAACAAAGAAAAGTTATTTATATATACACGTATACATATAAAATAGCGTAATAGGCCAGAGTTGTGAAAGCTGGAAAATATAAAGACATGCTCCTGTCAGACAGCCATTCAACAAATAAGGATAATCCCGAGAGCACATTCCATATCCTTTGGTGAGGCTGGCATTCGAAGCAAATAAGATACAATAATGTCCGAGTCGTCCGAAGCGGGTACTCTATTAGGCAACCGCCAAAGTTTATTAAGAGGGATAATAGCGATCGATAGGAACGTGGCTGTTTGGCCTACCGAAAGTGTCAGGGTACAGGTCCGGTAACGGGTATATTGTCAAACAAAAGGTGTCAATAACGGTGTATTGTAAAGATACGGAAAACAAGACTAAATACGAAGAGTGGATATATATGCACGTGACATATATCAGGAGTCGGGGTAGCGAGGGTCCGGAAAGATTGGTGATTTTGTAGGGGCCGGTTATCCGTTCGGCAGTGTTATCCTTTCCGTCGTGGATTTGGTTACCACGGAATTGTACCCTGTCCGTAAGCGGCGCGGAAGCGATATGAGGTTGTAACAGGAATGGCCTTTATAGCTATGGAAATACACCGGATGCCAATCAGAGCAACTGAATCAAAGAGGGAAAAACAGCAATGAGACCTGGAAAGAGTGTTGATTCTGGTGGACGATCTACTGAAGGCCGACGGGTTGAGATCCCCTCAAGAATAAGGTGAATCGAAGATTACATGTCCGAGGTGGCAGAAGGGCGCGAAAAGGACGCGTAAACCAAAGAGAGGGTATTGTACTGTATAGCCGCAGATCTCGGCTAGTCACAGTTGTACCTGACGAGTTAATACAGTACCTATCTCCGTTTTCATGACAGGTTGTAACTTTCCACCTGCGGGAACCGACAAGTTATCCGTATCCTGTGTGGCGCCATGTCAGAGATAAGGCTCATTTCCCGAAGTAAACAAATCTTCCGATGCCTGATATGAACGAATACAGCTGGTCATGTCCCTGTGCAGGTATAATTAGTAGTATCCTCGAACAGTGCTTCTCCATACTAGCGAACATTTTTACCAAGGCTACTCTGCTTTCAGCTCAACTCAACTGCTCCATAATGCTAAGTCTATTTATTCTACTACATTTGGGTGTTCGCATCGCACATGGCTATCCTAGCCCTGTACACCAGCAAAGTGCCGAAACCCCACCGTCGCTATTCCTCAAGTCTCTCAGTGAAAGCAATGAAACCGTTTTTACTCCTTATAAATCCCTTGATTATGGATGGTGGAAACCTGACAGCACTGTCTATGACGGTGTTCCTATGGTTGAGAAGCATGCCGTTGTTGATGGCAAAAACTTGACATACCAGGACTTTGACATACCTGCACTCACAACAGAGCAGGTTAGGAAGTATCTGATGTCGACTCCAGAGTTTTTCAATAGCCATGGGAAACTATCTTACACACTTGAAGACGTTGAGAAATACAGGTAAACGCATACCGCGCTTACATTTATGGACCTTGAACTCACTACGATTCTAATCTAGGTATTCCTTAATCTCAGGGGACCATAATATGACTGTTGCTGTACCCGGTCGTTATGCCAAAAGAATTTTACCTCACACCACGGATGTTGAGTGTGAGTTTGGCAGCAGTTCATTCTGTATACCAGAATGCAGGAGAAGCTCGTCTAGAGCTGTTATTCAGTCGACAAACCCGAACGTCTATGGGGACTATCATTACGAAAGCGGCGCTTTGTGTGGCACAGGCTCTATAACAAAGAGCGTCTCCGTTACTTCCGCGTCAGGGGTCAACATTGGCGGCAGTGACAATATTCCCGGGGTCAGTTTTGTTGTACTTGCTGTCTTTTAAAACTGCGTATGCCTAACTTTAGCAACAGTTGGGGAAAGGGTGGACGGGCGCACTAACAAAATTCCTAAGCACCTTCGGACTATCAACTTCTCACAATTCAGACACGTGAGTTAAATTACTAACCCAATCCCCAATATGCAGAAATTAGGGAGTACTGATAACCCGTCTTATTAGCGTTACAACCAGTATTTCCTATTCCGGCACTTGTGGGCCACATAATGTCTGCTTTCTCTGGGAGAGACCACATTTCACCGTTGAACAAGGAGTCATCACTGTGAGTAATGAGCAACTATTCTGGTCACTTCTAGCTGTGTAACCATACTGATTAAAGTAGACTCAGGAGTTTGATATCGCTACCAATAAGGCTTGCGGCTCTCCATCTGTGACGCCATTTGAGGCCCATATAATGCATGAGGATAGCGATGCTGGAGGCGCTGGTATGTACCTCTCCATCCCATTAGTTCCTATGTTCTGTTTCACCTGCTTTGTCTTCCCTGCTCTGCTACGTCATTGAAACAAATGAGAAAAATGAAGGCTTGCTAATTGGATAGCTGACTATGGTGCTTGCTATTCTATGACGTACCATGGGTGCCCAGGCCCGGTAGAAGCTTCATCTACTCTTCCCCGCTGTCCAGATGGCTATTGAGCACTGTACCCGACTTGGACAGATGACTCTGCTCGATATGCTTTAGGTGTCCCTGTTTTTGGTGCTATCATTACTCCGTTCGGCTCACCCTATACCTCTGAATATAAACAGCCCTATTCGGATACGGGGCGTGAGAAGACACGTGAACGAATCAACGCGTTTATCAGGGAAAGCGGCATATTTGATGCAGTGCTCATTGACAATATATTTTGTCAACATGGAAACCAGCTATCGCTTTTCGAAGCTCCGAAGCACACTCGTCCACACCAACGGCTCTGTCGACCCGAGACTCCATTTATGTGGCAGTATCATCCTACTCTGCTTTATTTACCATATGTCTCAGTGCCCTTCATGCCCTTCACCCATAAGCAATACGGCCACAGCTTTGGTTTCTCTCTTAGCCAATGTCGTTTGTTTTGGGACTTCTACCTTTTGTCACTACGTGCTGTATTCGAGAAAGCAGCTCCCTTCTTCCTACTTCCTGCTGGACCATCTTGGAATTATTCTTCACATATGGGGGACATCTGCATCAGTCTTGCTTTTAGAGGCTTCTGATAGCGGGAACAACAATTCCAATTTCCTGGGAGTCACACTGGGCGGGCTGGTCTGTGCCACTTATTTGATAACCTCGCCAAGAGATAAGAGAGAACGAGTGCTGGTGATTGGAGGGTTTGGAGCTTTGGTTTTATGCAGCGTCTCGCTTTACAGCGCTGTCTTTTCTGGTATATCTCGACTGACAGCCTCTTATATCTTTATGGCTGTGGTTAACGGCATCGGAGGGTGGTTCTACTCTCATGGGTCTATTCAAGTCCTGCGTCAACGTTCACACAAGCCCTATACTGTGCAGCGGCATACGTTGATGCACCTATGCTCCCTGATTGCATCCATATTTCACGCTTCAATATTGGTTTTTTCTGTTTGTATCTGACAGACTTGAGCCCTTGACCACATGCGGTTTCGATTTCGGCTATTTCTATGAGAATTCGGTCATGCTTGTTGATAATGTTCCATCAGCTCGGCGGCGTATACGGACCATTGGCCTATCGGCTAAACCTGAACATGTGATAATTCTGTAATCTCTAGGCTGTCATCCGGCGCTACGGCTGCAGTTCCGTTGCATCTCACTCCTGACATACACCTCTGTCAGTGTATGTTGGCACCAACGGAAGGCTAATTTGAGATTAAGTGGTCTGTGTAGTACCCAGAGGGGACTTCACGAACCTGTGGCTTATTACGCGGCTATACCCCTCTTTGAATGCTCAAGCAAACTGATCTTGCCATATCACCTATTCTCGTCATATCAATAAGATTAGGCCGAAGTTTATAGATCTCGGGTTTCATTAACGCCTAGAGGTTCTTAATTGGGTTTAAATCAGGCGAATGCGGTGGCTAGTCTGTGACCTCACTCTCTAAGTCCCGTAGAGCTTCTCGGACGACGTAGGCAGTATGCGTTGGCGCATTATCATGCTGAAAAATCGACCCTTCGTTCAATATTAGGGTAGGTAGGATTCGAAGGTATAGATCCCGGATAACGATGCTATTCACACCTCCACGCTCTGATTCTGGATCGCCGAATAGCGGAATCAAATCAGTTCGACGGGTAGCACCCGAGAAAGCAGCCCAAAATATCTGCTTAACTTGCTTTCCCCGTTATGGAAGGCCTTGAACTTGTCCAAGTTTTGGCTGGTCTTTTGGCTGAGTAAATGTCCATTCTCGACTGACACCAATTCCACGCTCCACCGTACATTCATCAGACCAAAAGACGCGAGCCCAATCTTCAGGAGTATAGTGTTGATAGCGAAAAGCCCATTGAAGCCGTTTAAAAGCATGTTCCTCAGTTAAATAAGGTTGCCAGCTACATCGCCATTTCCGGAGGTTTTCAGCGTTCAAAAGCCGTCGAGTTGACTTCATTTTCACTTTATAAGAGACCTCAGTAAGAAGGTCTTCATGTGTAACGCGAGGGTTCCGGTGGATCGTATCTTAAACGCGTACCTTATCGGCTTCATTAAGCTTCTTCGGTCGGCCAGCACGCGGCTTTGAGACACCGGCGCGTCTTTCATGCTCTTCTAAAAATCGTTTACCGGATCCCCGAAAGTGAAATCCAGGGGTATCTCTTATGGATACGTTTATAACCCCAATGAGCAGCCGTATGAAGCTTACAGATCCTCTCGCGTAAAGCAGGTGTAAGTTCTGAGCGTGGAGCCATATTCAAAATAGCAGGTTTTGAAAGGTAAGCTTCATGGAAATAGTATTATAAAATAGCTAGAATGGCTAAAATCGCGAGAAATAGCGACGCGTAGCTAGCGTGTCATACTAGGCGGTGTCGGCTAAAGAGAAAAGCGGTATGAAAGTGGGTCTAAGGAGGATGTCCAAACTTATGGCCAGTCACTGTATATGGGTTTTCCTGAACGCGAGGAAGCTACCTTCCTTCTGCTGCCTTGCGCTACGTCTTGTATCTAGAGTCAACTATAGTCGTTCTCAATCCAAGTCAAAGAGCGAGGCCCTTCGTAAACGCTACAGCAAGTCAGGTCTCCTCTTCGCAGTCGGATAGTGCATCAAGCGGAGATTCGATTTGAAACTGTGATCTTTCAGTTCCAATTCCCAGAATGTGCATTATATGAGGCTTACATCGGGCGATGACTCGCAAGGACCCCTCGTGCTTCCGTCTTCAGTAAATGGGCCGTCATTCAGAGCGGATGCCCGCAACAACTTTCTCAGCGAATTGGGCCTGGGCTTGATGTCTTCTGTTGGTTGAAATAGGGGATGTGCTTCCAAAGCCATATATAACCGGAGTGTGAGGATTTGGGTGCCAAGTATGAGTTTCTGGTCCACCATGTTGAGATTGAATAGGGGCGGTTTTTTTGCGAAGGAGGATATGCAGAATTAAGTTGAGGGCAAAGCTAACTCTTATATTCTGCGGATACCACCGGCTGCATCGTGAAGATTGAAGCGGTACGAACGTTCCCTAGTTGCTGCGACTACTATCGTGTCGTTTGTACCCAGGAATAAGGTTCGTGAAAAGCATCAGTTCGTCGCTCTGTCTTTCTAAGTGAGGGCTTGCGGTGTTTGCATGCCGAAACCAGCTGGCCTAGAAGGTCACCAAGCATGAGGTCTACTGTACCTGGGAACAGCAGAGGAGACGCAATGACTACTCGTGAGTTGCAGAATGCCAACGTGCGAATGTGGTTGTTGCCTGGGTTGAGCATACAACCAATGCGTTGGAATCTTGCCTGGGTTAAAATCAAGACGGCAATCGCCTCCGATGGCAACTTACATCAGCAATGAGAGCTGTTGCAAATCGGCTGGGTCCTCTTTCTGGCCTATCACAAGATATACTCGACAGCGCCGATGTCGAGAAATGCTGGCAGAGCTGGATTGATAGTGAACAGTGCGCTCGAGTTCAAGCGGCACTTAATATTCACGACGCCAGCTGGCTGCTTTGTTTCATCATCAGCCTATTCGTAGCCATCGCTTCCGCCAGTTTCCCCGCCTAGCTTCGGAGAAAATTTTTCTGCACCTACTGCATCCTCATGGGCTGTGGCTTTCCGTCAGTCCCTGAAATCTCAGAGTGAAAGTCTACTCCATACACAACCCTCTCCCACACCGGGTCTCTTTCCTCTCGCAGGCCACAATTCCCAGTTTTAGACCATTATGCTGACTATGAGAAGGGCATCGAAATTGTCCCCAAGCGGCATATTTTTCTCGCCAGGCACCGTGAGAACAAAGGGGAGCTGGTCCATGTCCAGCTGCTCGAGGAGGGCGTGGAAACACGGCCCCTCCTCAATGCAATCACCCGTCCCTCGCATCGTAGCTTCCTTCGCCTTCTCCGCTGTTATAAGCATGAAGGGCTAGCGTTCTTGGTTTGGGTGGCAATGTGAGGCTTGAGTGTTGAATGCACACACTGCACGCAAAAAGGTCAAAAAGATAGGGGTCGACCAGTATTACGCGGCATAGGACCTTATCAGCCACCAATGGCAAAGACGAAAGTTCCCTCGCTTCAATGAGCCCAAATTCCCGATTGAGATTTGAGGCGTTCTAGAAGGAATTAAAGCCGACCAGATCTACGATAGTGACTGACCAATCAGCTTGCTAAACCGATTTAACTTTTTGGTAATGTCAACAAAAGAGGGTCGAAATGTTACTAGTGCGCCCGAGAATATTCAGCACCCCCTCTGCCTGATGATCATTAAGGCTTCAACGACCTTACTAAGCTCATCCCCTATTTATTCTGCACTTCCTATAGTATAACACTCTCAAGTACTCAATTGGCTATGCCCGTACTAGTCCGTACTGTAACGACCACGTTCCGACACCCATAAATAGCGAGAAATAGGGGTAATGGAAATACAGAGTCATTGATATCTCCAATTGGCCGGATACAGTACGGATCGCGACACTTATTTACAGACTCTACTAAATTTGATTTTTATGGGTGGCAATTAAATTTAGGTGTATCTACCGATAACGTGCCTCACCCGTTCCTGGACCACCCATGTGGCTCTAAGCCTTTAACAGCTGCTTGGTCAGCGGTTTCTTCGGAGATTGCAGTGGGGAACCCCGTTGGAAGGATTCATTAAGTGATTCGACTTTGGATTAATTTCGGTACTGAAGACCGCAACATATTGTGTGGACTGTTGGGCCGAGTAGTTCTGCACACTTCATTTTCTTTCCCTGCAGGTTTCAACAGGGAACCATGCACTAGATTAGGTGCTTAGCGTGGTTAACTAAGCGTCGCGAGAGTCGGACCAGCATGGCGACTGCGAATATCTATGAGAGTCGTCAAGAAGAGTATCGAGCAGGCACCATCTCCATGACTGTTCTGGGTGTGGTTTTTGTCATTCTGCGGTTTTTGGCTCGTTGGAAGAAAGGCCTGCGGATTGGTGCTGATGACTATGTGATACTGCTTTCGTTGGTAAGTGCCATCCTCGTCTCTCTTTTGGAAAAGCCTTACCTGACTGGAGGGCCTTCCGCGATTGATTTCAGTACTTCCTGTTCGCGACCTGTGGAATTAATCTGGCGAGTGAGACAGCCCCTTTCGCAGGTATAGCCGGTGCATTGTAAGTGACTGACACATTGCAGTGATTCACTTTGGCATGGGCCGACACGCCGATGTATTGCCAGAAGGAAATATCGTGATAATTGCCAAGGTACGATCAAAGCGAAAACCAGACACCAATTCAGACCCGCAGATTGACATTTACCAGCTCCTGATGTCTTTCGAATGCGTATACTGCATGACATTGGGAATCGTCAAGATCTCCATCTTGCTCATGTATGCTCGTATCTTCCCCACAAGAGGCTTTCGCATCGCCGCAATCATCCTGGGCAGCATCGTCATCGGATGGGCTGTCGCAATCATCTGCGTGAGCGTGTTTCAGTGTGCCCCGATCGCAAAGGCATGGAACCCTACCCTGTCGGGTACTTGCATCGACCTCAAGGGCTCGTTCATCGGAAACGCAGTGCCGAATATCCTAACCGACATCGCTATCTTGGCTCTGCCAGTGCACGTTGTCTGGGGGCTGCATGCGACTGTAACGCATCGGCTATCGGTAATTGCGGTATTTCTGCTGGGCAGTTTGTTTGTCTCCCCTCCCCTCCCTCGAAAATAGACAAGTTTCAAAGCTCGAGTAGCGGACTGTGCTAACAAGCATCTCACTTCCACAGCGTCGTCTTCACCAGCGCCTATCGCTTCTCCACACTCTTCGAATTCCAACCGATCGACACCCCCTGGACCCTCGCCAAGGCTTGCACCTGGTGTCTCATTGAGTGCTCCAGTGGTATCATCTCGGCCTGCATGCCCACCCTGCGTCCCTTGTTCGTCATGCTTTCCTCGAAATTCGCGAGCTCGATCGGCACACGCACACGAACGACTGGCGTACGTGGTTCCGGCCTGAAGAGGTATGACGTGAGTAATTCGGCCTTGCGTCCACCGGGCGAAGTCATGGGCAAACAGAGTGTGCAATTGGAGGTCAGCCATCGGGACGATGCGTCGGGGGATGAGGTGCCGCTGAATACGATTAGAGTGCAACGTGACATTACGTGGCAGGAGTCGAGCTATGATTCTGGGAATGGTTGATCAGCTTAGGGTTTTAAGAGCGATGTATGGCATAAGGTCTTATTAGGGGGTAGAAAATTAAGTATAGGCTGTACGGGAGAGTCCAGGCGGTCCTACAACCCAATAGCTCTAGTAGTGCAGTTACAGACATCAAGACCACCTTCACGGTAAGTTGCTCGAACGGTGATATGCCAGATATCGTCCGGACGCGATGGGTTTGCGAAAACATCATCGATGCTCAAAGGACAGCGAACTCGGGAGCTAGAGAAGTTTGCAGGCAAGATCTGCTTGCGCCGTCAATGGCGATATGTTAGAAGACGGTCTCAATGGACAAAGCATATTGCATAGCTTGACTGACTTCCAGCTGCTATGACCTCCAACGTGGACTGGCTTTGCACATAGTGCTCGGGCTTGGATAGAAAAGTGCAGGCTTCGAAATCAAATAAGACAACCTCCGGTCCAAAAGCGAGGGAAAAAACAGTCCTGGTAGCATGCAGCTCCGTGTGTGTGCGAATGACTTGTTCCCGCTCGCTCGCACATGCCGACGAGCTCAGCAACGCTGAGAGGAAGAGGGATCAAGGGACTATATCAGACGTAGTTCTTGGGTCCCGGGTCCTCTCAATCGTTTGGCCATCCTCGGTCTTGTCCATCGATTCGAAGCTGACATGGCTATTGTTAGTTGATTCGGCTAGAGATGACGGGACTTCGCCTCACAATCTCCTTGCAAGCAGACTCGACGGACAACCTCGCCGTGTACGAAAATATGGCTCTAGCAAGACGACCCGTTGGCCCCTCCCGGTGTCTTCAGATTTTCAGGCTCGGAAGAGGACAGACGCCATCTGAGGACAACGATGGTCACCCACTGGACGCCAGGGATTCAAGCTGCAAGTAGGCTACCCCATGTGGGTGTTCAAATGCCGAGAAACAGGTACTATTATGCGCTCTACTGGGTCTTGCATTGGGTAGACATACCAACACATGATCTGATGAACCAAATTGACTGGGCCAAGTTCGAGGTAGCGACGCGTCGATACCACCGGTAGTCATGTGGAAGAAACAGAGCATGCGACGGTGTTGGTGCAGGGAAGTTTGAGCAGACAAGACAGTTGATCGCTTCGCATTCGAGTGTGAGAATATGAGGGTGTCTTCCTGTGGTGAGACCCGAGTCAGCAAGTGTTGATCCAGTTGGACGAGGTGTTGGTTACGTTGCTGAAGAAGAATTCCCGAGTGTACGCTTGAAGCAGATGATAAACAAGAATCATGATCAACCAGCTTACCAACTAGATCACGGCCAATTTTCTCTTGCAATGCAGTCACCAATCATGCCATGTTGTATCCAGGTTCGTCGCACTCTCCGGCTGTCGCTTCGAGAAGTTGCGCTGGATGCACCGGGCAAGTTCACAGGACAGCAAAGGCGCGTGACGAGCCCACTTGTGACAAGAAATTGTACAGTATTGGGAGACTGCTCCGTGTAGAGGCATTCTGTTGTTGAGGATGTGAAGGCGGTGAGGTGGAGGGCGCAAGACGCGATGGAGCGCGTCGGCCCCTTGGTCTTATCTGACTCGGCGGGAATAGGTTACTCGCCACAGCAGTTTTCGAGGTTGGTGATGGGCTGCTCCTACAACAGCATGAAGATGTCAGTGGGGTTCGTGTCTGGGGCACGGACTTGGCGCAAAATCAAAACTGGCGCAGCAGGAGGCGCGATATTCCACTCACCTCATCGTGGACAACGAACGTCTTGGAGCCTATACGTTCTGTTGTTGGCCCGCGCCCTTAATTTGCAGTATTTCAAATAGGACATGTTGCATGGCTTGAGGTGACAGGGCCTGAGAAGCAATGGCGTGTAAGCCATGAGCGGAGCACTGACGGAGTGCTGGTTCGGACTCACTTTGGTGCGCTGTCAACGGTTTCCTGTCCATCATTAGCTTGTCGATCGGCGAGGTATTCCATGACTTACAAGTTCTGAAGGTCAATACTAGAGAAGAAGACACGGAGAAGGGCTCCGAGATTTTTGCGCTGGTGTATATTGGACGGAATGCACGTGTTTTTGTTTCGCATTGTCTTTGGAGTCAGCTGAATTTGGACAGTGTCGTTCTGAGACTTAGTTTCCATACCTGTATGAAACCGCTCTTTTTTTGCATCAGGGATATTCGGGGAGGGGACAGTTAGTCCGCTGCTATGGTGGACAGATGTTCACATACATACTTTGACCAGCTGGCCCCAATCTCTTTTCTTTTGATCGGCTGGGATTGGCGACATAGTGGACCTGGTGGGAATCACATCTCTCACAATCACTTTCTAGCTTGTCGGCCCACGATGTATCCATAGATGTCAGTACAGTGGAAATTCCAGTAGGGTCGAGGGAAGAACTCATCAGGTGCCTCAAGCCGAGGGTCTGCTCAACTTTGCATGGCAAGTGACAGTATTGTGGAACGAATCGCTGAGGGGAGAGGCGTATTTATACGCTTCTCGGCTCCTGTCGCGTACACGCTCTATTAGGGAGCAACGTTGAAGGACACAATGCCTATCCTAAATGAGAGGTCTGTTGTAACATATACCGCAACTATTTGCAGCGAATTTCTTGGTGTGATTTTAGATGCTCACCGAGAAAACATGCTAGAGTCAAGGAGAGAATGAGTCAAAGTGAGTCGGTTAAGAAACGTTGGCTCACTGTTGAATTTACGATCTCAATGCTGAGGAATGCATTCTTTATTTTACCAAGAGCGCTCACATTCTTTTCATCTAAGGAAGATGGAAATTTTCCGGCCTCGCTCGAGTCTTGATCGTCTGAGCTGTGTGTGGTTCTGTTCGTCTAGGCTGCGGAAAGCGTCAGGCCGCAGTCGCGCGGGCGGGGTTGACCCGTCAACCCGTTAGAGCTTGACCGTCCTTGTTGACGGGAGTCAACTTTTGAACTTGTGATCATGGTTGAAATAGATACCTTGTTTTTTTGATTTTCTTTTTCGGTCCTCTAGGGTTCTATTTACTTTTGGGTTTTCTGAGCTCTCAACCGAATGTGGAAAATGCCTTGTGATTGAATAGTATATTTCCTGGATCGTTCATCAACAGTAGGCCACTAATATGAGGCACATTCACCAATCATCAACACTACGAAATCGATCACCAGCACCATCATTTGTTGAGATGGATGCAAGATCCATCATATGATGCCTTGCATTTAAGGCATCATTCTGATGCATCAATTCAGATGCCTCACATCTCTTTAGGTCAACATTGACACCTCCCAGTTCAGTACTAGTGCGACCGTATATATAGCAGATCTTTCATACTATGGAAGATCAGACTTAAACACCTCTCTGGAATAGACTGTTTCGCATGCTCCATTCATCTCCTACCATTAGACATCCCAAGTTTCAACATCATTAAACAGACTGCTAAGAGAGGCTGAGATTGAAAATCTGATTACGCTGATTGACTCTCATGGTAAAAATGAGACTGAGTGCCAAGCCACCTATGTCTGCTAGTCTATAAAATCCTCCAACAATTGATGGACATGCTACTGCTCAGATACTCGAATTTTACTACAATCAAGATGGATGCCCCTAGCAGCACGCCAGACCAGGAAAAAGAAGGAGAACAACAGCCCAGTGCGTTGCCAATCGTTTGTGAAAAAGACAATTTGTAGGAAGCTTCTGGTTATATCCCTCCACTGGTAAGTAAAGCGGCTCAGCTTCGAATGCTCTTACTGACCATTACAGCCCTCTACAACGGAACAGGAAGCAGAAACAAGACATGCCTTGGCGACTGAGCCCTTTCAACCTATTTTGAAGGCGCTAGCAGATCTCGAACGCGACGATCCCAAGTCCGCCTTTCCAGCAGGTCGAATTGTCGGACTGTATCGACGCCTATGGGAGTCGTGCGTGACCAAACACATCGATGGCCAGAACCTAGACCAAAGCAATCAAATCTTGAAGGAAGCTAGCACACACCTGACTCAAGAAAGGGACGGACTTCAGCTGCGCCACGACAAGCAGCTGTCTCGGCTGCGCTTTTTCGAGCAGGCACTGGAATCATCTCGGGGTCGACTGACTCGCGTACTCGATGACTGGAACCACCCTTGCAGACTCAATCTACCAGGATTCTTGGACAACGCAAGAGAAGAGTGATGCATTGCATGTTCATATTTGTCCTATGTCTTTTAAACGTGGAAAATAACCAACAGTGTCACAATGAAGAGGATGAGCACGTGCCAGCTTATGTCTTGTTCATTGTTCACATTAAGAAGGCATATTATAGCCTTTGCGGAGTGTGTCAGCGGATAGTCCGGCCTGTTCTAGGTGACTTCTATTAATTCAATATATTATAGACAAAAATACGGATGCAGTGACAATGTGGGCAGTATACAGTATGGATGGATGGATGGATGGATTCATTTACGCTGACCCCTCGTCGAAGTTGGATTCTAAACCATAACCCACTAGGCTGAGTGCGGATTCGTATTTTAGTCTAGTTGGGAAATCAACTGGTTATGAGCCCGGATTGCATGACCTTTGAGCGCGCCGGTTCGATCCTCACAGTTTGCGTTCTTGAGCACCCAGAGCCACCAGAAGACGGCCTATGATTGGTCGCACAGCCAGGCAGCAGAGCTTCGCACGCGGCCCCCAGCCAAGTGTTTATGGTTTACGGGGAGAGTTGGATTCTAAACCATAACCCACTAGGCTGAGTGCGGATTCGTATTTTAGTCTAGTTGGGAAATCAACTGTCGAAACGATATGCAGCCTACCACTACTATATATATCTCTATCCGTACATGTATCGTGTACCACTTCCTAAGCGAACTTAGAGCCTCGCCGAGGCCTGCCGTGGCCTCTGTGCCGTCGTTGTGTTTATGCAGCCCTCATGGCGCGCGGCTTTGAAACCGTTGCGATGCTTCAGCGAAGTCCAAGACAGCCTCCACTGTCTTGGTCCGTGAAGCACTATCAATCTTACCTCTTCCTTCTTCTCCTGGTCCACCCAACAG